TGAAACAGACTGGTAGAAATTCCATAGGGGTTTCTTGCCATTTTTAATTTGGGCAAGTATTTCATCCTTAGACTGATTTTCTTACATACTAATTGGAAGATGATGGTTGCAACTTCTCAGTTGATCTATTTTTTTCATTTAATATCTACAGGAACTGTTGTGTGGTTCTACAGGTACTTGTGTTGTTTGTATTGCTTCTCTTAATTGGTGAAGATTATACTTTTTCTTCTATCTGAAACACATCATAAAATGAAGTAGTTAACTGAATTAGTTTAGGAAATTTTACAGAGTGTATTTGTTTTGAAAATTTCAGCAAATAAGCGTTGGAATACTAAAGGCGCTGAGTGACTCTAACAAACAAAATGAAGAAGAACTTAAAAAGAAAATTAAAGGTAAAATAAATTATCACAGCATTGGTAATTTGTAAAATCTCTTTTTTGAAGTATATAAAGTAACATTAATAGTATCAACTAAAAGATACATGTTTACTTGTTAAACTTTATGCCATCTCCTGAGTATGCATGTGTTAACTAGAATAACAGGGTCAGTAGTTTTAATCTATATTTAAATGTTTTGCTGAAATGTCTTGGTGGCATTTCCTTCTTAATAGGATAAGAGAGACTTGATTCTGTAGACATCATACATTAAAATGTGTTTGGGCCATGATTAATCATTCAAACATGTAAGAAATAAAAATACTAGTATGTGAATATAACTTATGCAGCTGCTAATAGTCCATTGTTACTTAACAGTAATATAAAAAAAATCCAAACAGTGAACAGAAAAATTTTAAACTTTTCAACATGACTTAGGAGATGAGCTACCAATTTAAATTCAAATTGTGTTACTCTGAAATTACAACTTGAAGAAAATGGTTTTGTTTGTCAGACAAAAGTTGGTGCTTGTTTTTTAAGTTCAGATAGTTGTTTCAGTCTTGAGAGAAAACAGGAATTCTTAGTGAAATGCAGTACTTCTGAGAAAAAAGGGAAATGCATTTGAGCAGAGAAAGTGGTAGAGGTATGGTTTAACCAGCTGTGTTCTGCAAATGTGTTTTCACCCCCATTCTTTCGATACGCAAAGGATTCTTAATTTAAGAATCTTGCTGTACTTGCTATCCTGAGGAAACCAGAACAGGTCAACATGCTCCATCATATACCTTGCATGTTATATTCTCCATTTTCATTTGGTATGTTGTAATGAAATTGGTTGCCAGTGTATTGTATATAATATTTTTTAACTTTACTATATACTTTTTGAATTCTCAGAATACGAAAAGAAAAAGGGAATACAAAGTTTTGTAGATCGAATCTTTGGTGGAGAATTAACCAGCACAATTATGTGTGAGGAATGCAGAACTGTAAGTAAAGTGCCTGCTCTGAATGACCTAGAGTATGTATGACCTACAGTTATGTCCTGTAATCTGCAGAAGCCCAGAGTGACTGTCTGTAGAAATAAGACTTGACTAGCTGCATGCTTTTCAAAAAGGAGTGTGATTTGTCTGGAATTTTTTCTTGCCTTGTGTTTTTAAAGATAATCTTCCAGTTCCTTTCAAAAGCCTTCCAGAAAAAGAGGTCAGCAACAGCAAGCTGCCTCTGCCATAATTCCCTCCTAGATTCCCAGTGAACACCTTCCAATGGTACAGATCATAGAGTAAATTAGTTGTTATGGGGCCCTACCCTTTTTTATTCGGGGGATTACGTTTTCCCCTCTCCCAGAATGAAGACCGTGGGAGTGCCAAGAGGACAGCTAAGAAGGCATTACTGGGATAATACATCCCAAGAATGAAGTAATTGAGTGCATTAGCATATGGGCTTGTTGAACATCATGATAGATTACAAATGTGAGTCACTTAGGCCCTAAGGTGCAGTCTCACTAGATAACTGAAATTCATCAAAATATTCCCTGCTCATTTCTGTGGTAATGTGACTGCTGGATTTTTGGTCATTGAAAGCTATTTGTGGACATAAATGAGCTGTGTTTTACAGTTGTGTGCACAAGTGAAAGCAGGCCTTGAATGCAAATACACCTACTGACAGCAAGCCATCTGCTTCCAAACAAAATTAAATTGGGCTCTTGATTATTCATTTAAAGGTGTCCTTGGTCCATGAGTCTTTCCTTGATTTGTCGCTTCCTGTACTAGATGTTCAGGTAAGAAACAGTACATAGGTGCTTTTCAGCTTATATGTATTTTTTGTTTATGTGAAAACACTTATTATTCAGTCATTAGGAAGAGCATTTAAACTTCTACTTTTTTGCAAAAGTATCTTTTGCAAGTCAAAATTGCACAGAAAGGTAGAGAAAAAGATTTTTCATGAGAGCCATTCTTGTAAATTGTGGCTCATAAATTTTCTCTGGGAAATCATACAGGTTGTTTGAGTTCTTTGGGGGTTTGTTTTCACTTTTTTCATCCATTTTTCTCCACCAAGTACCAGAATACTTCTCCTAATATTCAGGTTATGGAATAAAGTTAAGA